ATGTTCTATGAACAAGATATGTTAAGGATCATGTAGAGGACAAGTTCATTTCATACAAGACACAGTCATGTGAATTTAGTTCTATACAAGGAAAATAATTAAACATCCAATTATTCTCAATGTGACACACGTGAAGGAACTTGTCAAGGAAATCATGAACTTAGTTAGAAACTTCATCATGCTCATGGAACCATTGAATGGATTTTAATTAATTCTTTTAATTAAAATCTCTAGATTTTGAAATTTATCCAAATGATCTCAAATTAATGTATGTTATACAACATGCCAAGACTTGATTTAAGAACATGATACAAGTACATTCCATGCAAGATACGGCCATGAGTATTAAAATTTAATACTAAAAAATAATTAAATGAAAGGTTTCAAAACCTAGTCAAATATTCTCAATTTAATATATATGAAACTATATGGCATGCACATCCATAATATGAAGCCGAAAATCCAATGGAGTGAATAGTGCACTCGAAATAAATTAATTAATCAAATCAATTAAATATTACTAGATTTCAAAACATCTCCGATTACTCTCAAATTCACCTATGTTGAAGAGCATGCTAGGGCCTAATATAATATGGTAACACATATTGATTTCAAGCTAGTTAAGGCCACATGAATTAAATATTTATTCAAGATAAATATTAAATAAAATCTTCAATACTTATTCAAATGCCTTCAATTTAATATATGTCAATGAACACGTCAAGGAGTAATATTCTATCAAGCCACATGTTTAAAACAAGCAATGGACAAACGGGAAAATTAAATCTCATACAAGAAAAATAAATAATAAAATCTCTAGATTTTTTATCCAAGCATGTAAATAGGTTGTATAAGCATCACAAGCATGCAATATAACAAGAAAGTAAATTATAACACCCCCTACCTCCATTTGAGATGAAATCTCAAATCCCCACCGAAAGAAATGAGCTCTGAATCCTACGATACTCTTGGGTTTTGTAAGGGACAACAAGGTGATCATTAAACCCCAAGGAGGTACCATGAAAATCCAAACTTGAACTTGAAATCTGAACTCAAAAAGGGTAAAAAAATGGGTTCTAGTAAGGGAGAAAGATGCGCGTTGTCAAGGCGAGTATAAAACACTAAGGTACTATACCTTTTTACCCAAGGGAAGTGGCCGAAAAAGAAGAGAATAGGGTGGCAGCCCCTTGGCTGCCATGGCTGCCGGCCAAGAGAGAGAGAAAAATATGACTTTTCAACTTAGAGACCCCTATTGATAGGGAAACCCTAAAAGTGCCCCGAAAGGGCCTCGCCGGGTCCGAAAAAGTGTAATTTGAGCAAACACACTCAAACAACAAAACTCTGTGAACAAAAAAGATTTAAAATGAGAAAATCTGAACAACGGAGGAAACGACGTCGAAAATCGAGTCTCGAGCAAAGAGATGTGCCCCAAACAAGTTTTACGGCAACCGAGGCCAGCAACCCTGAAATTGGAGAAAACCAGAAGGAAATTCTAAGAGTTCACGACTCGATGAAATGTGAAAATAAATCCCGTACGAGGATCCAGGCACAAAATAGGGTATTTTGCAATAACTTTCGTCAATTGCACAATGGCCCTTACAAAAAGGGTTAACTGCCAAACTGCCCCAGAATGAAAATATTTTCCAAAAGATATTTTCTTAGATACCCCTGAAATAAAATATCTTTAAAATATATTTATGAAAAACACCCCAAGAAAAGAAAAAGATTCTAAAGAACTGTGCATCCATGCCCTTATAGACACCGGGAGCAACCAAAGTACTTTTTTGCAAAAGTAAAGATACGTATTTCGTGGAACCACTTAGAATGAAGATACATAAAGTCAAAAACTAACTCTGAGCACAAAAAGTGAGGTTATGCCAACAAAGTGACAAATGGAGAAAAGACAAAATAGGGAAAAGTACAGAATGGGGAAAAGAACGAAAAGTGAATAATGTCCGAAAAGTGGAAATGTGGAAATGACTCGGTCGTTAAAGGAAGTTGTCAATCCAAACGAAAGAGTCTCAGAAACCTACAAGCACTCGAGATGACACTATGTGACAAGAGACAAAACTCAGAAAAGAAAATTAAACGGAAAAAATTTATCCGTAAAATTTCAAGAAAAATAAAAAGAAGGAAAATGACCGGATCATTACAAATAATTTAAAAATACAAATAAAATAATTAAATAAATACCGAGACTATCATTTTAAAATTAGGGGTATTAAGAGTCATGCAAATGTATCGAGAAAATCCAAAAAAAGTTCAGAAAAATGCCGAACAAGGGCATATAATCGATCGCAGCCTACATGCGATCGATCGCAGCCTACATGCGATCGATCGCATCCAGCTACGATCGATCCTAAAATCCAGTCATCCAGATGAGGTTGCCACATCACTGTTCGTAAGCCACATCATCATTGCGATCAATCGCAATCCTAGTTTGCTCCGGCTCAGCCAATCATCAATCGCAAATCCTAGTTAATAGATAAGATAAGACAGCTCAGCGGATAAGGTCAGCCATGTCAGCACAATTGATCGTAGGTAACTTGTGATCAATTACAAGCCCTTGGGATTGATCGTAACCAGCCTGGTAGCAGCTTATTTTTCACCCGGTTTATCCTAAACTTCATCTACCAAATGGCTACAGGATTGAATCATTTTGGGGCTTATTTCTGACTTATTTTGGGTTCCAAGGATCTTGTATAAAAGGGGAATTGGACCACTTTGTAAATGGTTAGATATTTTTAGAGAGAGAAAGTTAGAGATAAACATTAGGGTTTTGAAGTGGAGGCAAGAAGATCTCTAGATACACCATTTCTTTAGGGTTTCAAGCAACAAGAAGAAGAGGAAGAAGATGAAACAAGGCATAGGGATGGATTTAGAGGACTCTTTGATGACATTTCCACCCTCTATGAATGGCTAGCCTTCTCCTTAGGGCTTGGATAAGCCCTAAGCTTGTAATCTAAACCCTTGTCTTTCATTTTTTTGAGGAATTAATATTATAATTGATGCTATAGCCTTATGTATATAATACATCTTGGGTTCTCCTTAATTTTTATGGTTTAATTCTTCCTATTGATTCTCTATGTGATTACATGTGTGTGTTATGTGTGATTATTTGGGAATTGATCTCTATACTAGATACTTGTGGTACTTGTATTTAGTGATGGCTATATATGGTTTTTATTGGATGGATTTGTCAATTAATTTGATGCATTATGCTTATGCTTGATGGATTACACTACACCTCTAGTTTAATTGTTGCTTAATTGTAATTTAATTACATTTTAATTGTAGTTAGGTAGACAATCTATGCTTGAATTTGATAATCCATGGCTTATTATTGCAAATTACATTAATCTCTAGATTGATGTATGCTACAATTGTTGATTAATATGATGGTTTATGCTTAGACTTGATAAATTGCATTACACTTTAGTTTACCTATTGATAAGTAGACAATTCATGTTTGATTTTGATATCCATGCTTATTATTGCAATTAGTGGTCACATTTTTCTTATAACATGAATTTTCCCCAATTAGTTGAAGGCGTGTGATTTAGTGAATGAGCTTGGTGGTGATTCTTATGCCCTAAGATTCCTCTCTTATCTCTTAAACTCTACTCATTTTAGCTTAATTTACATTGCATGTTTTTAAGTTCCATTGTAGTTTAATCAAACCAAACCAACTCTCTTTTCAATCTCATTAGCGTTAAAGTTCAATTTGATTCCAGCACATGTTGAATCCCTGAGGATGATCCTTTCTCACTATACTTCATTGTATTAGTGTAAAAGTGGCTTTTATAAATATTAAAAGGTGATGCTCATTTGACATTGTTAAAAGTAATACATTTTTGTGCACACACTTAAGTCGCATCACGTTTTTGGCGTTATTGCCAAGGATTGATTGTTTAGTTGGAATCAAATTAGGCATTAGTGCTCATTTGATTGCTTGCTTTTGATTTTTTTTATTTTTTATTTTTGATTTTCTTATTTATTACTCTATGTTCAATTAGGTACTTGATTACAAGGAGAGCAAGCATCGAATATTGACATTGTTGCTTGGGACCTTTGTGAGCATTTCTTTGAATTCTTTTACCATAATTGTTCAATATTATATGCTTGAGAGATAACCCTTGTCAAGGCTAATTACATTGTTTAATTTTTTGTCCAAGCATAGGTCCTTGTTAAGACCATTTACTTAATTGTTAAAAGCATGGGCCTTTATTAAGGTCATTATTTTGTGCATTGATATATTGAGAAGAAAGAGAACATCATATGTGGAGGTTGTGGATTTGTTATGGTGAAGAAGTTGTTGTGTTGACTTGTTGTTGTGTATGCATATTAGAAGGTCCTTTAATACTCCTCTCATCCCTCTAAATCAAAATCTTGAATCCTCCATTTAGCAATTAAGAAGTAGTTCTAGTAGAATTATTTCCACTCTTGACCACCCCATCACTTCAATGGAAGAACAAAATGATAATCACGGGTATGTTGAACCTCAAGGTGTGCCCTTAGGAGTTCAACAACCAAATCTTGTGCAACAACATCCTTTTGTGCAAATCCCTCCCGGAGCTCAAGTAGTTTACGCTCCTCAAGGTCATGTGGTGTACCCTCTCGAAGCTCAAGTTCCAAATCCTTAAAGGGTCATTCGTGATCATTACACTCATAATGAATACAATGCCCCGACATGTATCCGGCTACCAAATTTTAGGGCTCACCATTATGAGATTAAAGCTTCAACCATCCAAATGTGCCCCCTATTCTATGGGTTAAGCAATGAAGAACCATATAAGCACTTGGATGAGTTTCTTGAAGTTTGTTCAACCGTGAAAATAACGGATGTTCTGGAGGAAGTCTTAAAAATGAAGTTTTTCCCTTTCTCTCTTCGAGACAAGGCAAAATATTGGTTTAATAACTTGGAGGCGAACATAATTATATCTTGGGCACAATTGCAACAAGAATTCTTAAAAAAATATTACACCACAAGTAAAACCAATGCAATGAGAACTTCTATCTGTGAATTTTCTTAAGGTGAGGGGGAACCCTTGCATGAAGCATGAGAGCGTTTGAATAACTTACTACATAAGTGTCCACATCATGACTTTCCTAATTCGCAATTAGTTCAATGCTTCTATGAAAGCTTATCCGATACATACAAAGATATGGTTGTTACTTCATGTAGAGGCACCTATTTGGAAAGGCATGAGGATAATATTTGGAATCTTTTTGAAAAAATGAGTGAAAATTCAATGCGTCAATATTCATTTTCTAGGGGCGGTCGTAATTTAAATGTGGGGGGGAGGAAAAATCTATGTCAAGTAGATAGTTCCATGGAAATTGCTGCCAAGATATAAACTCTTACTTAAAAGCTTGATAAATTCCTTTTGAGTCAAAGCTCGGCAAATCAATTATCATCTTCTTCCCATAATCATAATGAAATATGCATCACTTGTTCTAGCTACACTAACAATACTTCCAATTGTCCTCTTGGACAAGTCTGTCCAAGTGAGTCTTAAGAATAAATAAATGCTACTTTCATTTATCAAGGGAACGATCCCTATTCTAATCAATACAATTCGAGGTGGGCGAATCATCCAAACTTTTCTTGGAAAAATTAAGGAGACAGTGCAAATCCTCCTCAAGGTCAAAGTTTCCAAGCAAAGTATGTGCCCCCTCATCTCCAAAATGCAAATTCTAAAGGGTATCATCCTTCATCTTATTCTCCCCACCATGGGAATCACCACTCCAATCCTTAAGCTTCCAATTCTTAATCTTACTCTCATCTACCTCAAGCACCTCCTAGGAAATTCACATTTAAGGACAAGGTTTTGGCGGCCTTAGGTAGTCTTAAAGCTAACAATCAATTACTCCACTCTCATTCTTAATCCATATAAAAGCAAGAAATCTAAATTAGGTAAATAGCTAATTCGTTGAATACAAGAGAGAAGGGTAAGTTGCCCAGCCATTCTAAGCCTAATCCTAAGGTGCAATACATGGTGGAAACAAGTCCTTCATCAGGATTTACCACCCATGAGTAAGTGCAAGCTATAACCATGTTGAGAAGTGGTAAGCAAGTTGACAATAGGGTAGAGAGACCAAGTGAAGTTAGTGAACCAGTGTGTAACCAAATGGTTGCCCCCGTCCCATTCCAAATCCCATTCTTACTTCATTTGATGCAAGTGGTTCTAAAAAGAACCTTCCATCATTATCATCATCATCATCTCCCCAATTAGAAAAGCTTTATGAGCCAAAAGCTCCATTTCCTCACGCTTTAAGAGAGACTTCACCATTTGGGAGACAAGAGGAAAAAATCCATGACATGACGGAGGTTTTTGAGCAAGTCTAAATCAACCTTCCTCTTCTTGATGCTATTAGACAAATTCCACCCTATGCCAAGTTCTTGAAGGACTTGTGTACTCAAACGAGGAAGAGTAGGGGACAAAGCCCTAAGAAAGTGCTTCTCATGGAGCAAGTGAGCTCCATCTTTCTACATAACACCTCGCCTAAGTTAAGAAACCCCGGTGCTCCAACCATTTCTTGTGTCATTGGGACCCATGAGGTTCGTAGGGCTCTTCTTGATTGAGGGCCAAGTGTTAACCTCATTCCTTACTCCGTGTATATGCAATTAGGTTTGAGTGACTTGAAGCCAACTTTGGTAGTACTCCAATTAGCCGATAGATCTACCAAGAAGACTAGGGGAATTGTCTTGGACATCCTCATTAAGGTTGATAAATTCTACTTTTCAGTTGATTTTGTTGTGCTAGATATCGAGCGGGTCCCCAATCCCACTAATCACATTCCTATCATCTTAGGAAGACCATTCCTTGCCACCACTAATGCAACTATCAATTATAGGTTCAGCATTATGGACATCTCTTTTGACAATATAATGGTTAAGCTTAATGTGTTCAACGTGAGCCAACATCCCATCAATGAAGGAGAGTGTTTCCTTGTGGATTGATGCTCCCCTCGTGCGTGCCACAATAATGTGTGTACACTTTGGAAATGTGCTGGAAAAATGTGTCAAGTGTGCATATAAAACCACTTAACTCTAATATAATGAAGTATAGTCAGAAAGGGATCATCCACAGGGATTTGAAGGTACTTGGAATTAAACTTGGCTTAATAGATCAAGAGATTGAAAAGAGTTTGGTTTGGTTTGTTACTCTAATGTTCAATTGAAATTAAGCAATGCAAAGTAAATTAAAGCCAAAGAAAGTAGATAATGAGTGCTCAAATGTGACGCATTTTAGCACCTAAGTTAGGGTATTTTAGTCCATTCATCTATCTTTATTTTCCCGTTTTAGTACTTATTTGTGTTTTAGTCTATTTCAGGTCAACAAGGTTTAAACGGGCTAAAAATGGTCCATTACAGCCTTTTTAGAGTCGAGCAAAAGTTCCAAGAAGATTTTAGAAAAATCCGAAAAAAGGTAAAAAATGCTGAATTTTTGGATGATCGAGAATTTTTCGATCAATCGAAGATTTCTTCAATCGATAAAAAATACACTGGCAGGGAGCTGTCTAATTCTTGCGCGCCCAAATTGTACTTACAACATAGCTGCGGGATTGGATATTTTAGGGGCTTATTTTCTGACTTGTTCACTACTCCAAGAACCTTGTATTTAAAGGGAACTGAACCATTTTGTAATATATCTTTTGTCTTCAATTTTATTTTATTGTAATTTTTATTTTTTCTTTCTAGAAAAGTTAGAAATTAGAGTTAGAAGAAAAGAGAAGAGTGGAGGCACCAAGAACGCATCTCAAAATCTACACATATTCTCTCTAAAATTCAACAAAGAAAAAGGGGAAGGAGATGGAACCATTTTTGGGGATTGCCCTTAAGGATTCCAAGATCACACCCACCTCCTCCATGATTGGCTAGGCTTCTCCTTGGGGCTTGGATGAGCCCTAAGTTTGTAATCTAAACCTTTATCTCTTTTATACTTTTTGGGGAATCATATCTTGTGATTAATGTTTTAGCCTTGTGAATTTAATGAAACTTGGGTTCTCCTTTGATTTCTATGGATTAATTATTTCTATTAATTCTCTATGTGATTACATATTGTCTTATGTGTGATTATTTGGGAATTGATCTCTCCACTAGTTTATTTATATTAATTGCATGTCTATATATGGTTGATTGAGAATCTAGTGATAGCTAGACATGATTTTTATTAGATGGGCTTGTCAATTAATTTGATGGATTATACTTATGCTTGATGGGTTGTTCTATAATTTAATTCATGGTTGTAGGTAGGTAGACGATCTTTACTTAATTTGATATTTCATGGCTTATTATTGCAAATTCCATGATTTTCTAGATTGATGTGTGCTACAATTGTGACTAATTTGATGGGTCATGCTTAGAATTGATGGATTGTTCTACACTTAGTTTATTTGTTGGTTAGGTAAACAATTCATTATTGAATTTGATGGTCCATGCTTAATATTGCAATTGGCAGTCGCATTTTATGCACAAGAAGGTTTTCCCCAAATTAGTTGAAAGTGTGTTGTTTGGTGAACAAGCTTGGTAGCGATTCCAATGCACCCCAAGACCTCACTTCTCATCTCTTAAATCACCCCTAACTCAACTTAGTTCATTTTAATTAAATATTTGCTAGAGTAATCAACTAACTTAACCTTTGTAATCAATTGATACATTAGAGTCGAAATTAAATTCCAACACGTATAATCCCTGTGGACGGTCCCTACTCGCTATGCTTCATTAATTGTAGTAGTGATTTTTATAAATATAAATTTGACTAGAAAGGCTTCCGAAACCACATTCATATTTTGACCTTGCAGAGCGACCTCTCACATTAAAAAGTTCGTTTTCTAAACACATAGAAAAGGGGCTCGTTAAATTTTGGCGCCGTTACCGGGGACTAACGGTTTTGTTGGAATTAGATTAGACAATAGTGTTCATTTGATTGCTTCTATTTTTATTTTATTTTCACTGTATATTCATTTCTCATTCTTGATATTACTTGTCAAATAGGTACTTGACTACATGAAAGGCAAACTTTGGAACTTGAAGCAATCATTAGAGCTTAAAGCTAGTATTGGAATTTAAAGTTACTTAAGGACTTTTGTGAGCAATTCTTGGAACTCTTGTATTTTAATTATGCACTTCTTTGCGTGCTTGTGATAGCCATTATTGAGGCTAATTTCATTGTTTTATTTTAAGTCAAAGTAGCGGCCCATGTGGAGGCCCAAATTTTTTTTTTTTTTTTTTTTTTTGCATTTGGATTTTAATTATGAATGGAGGAATTGTTTAATCCAAGTTTGGGGGGGGGGGGGGGGGGATTACATCCCTTCACCTTATGCCCTTCCATTATATTTTGATCCTTATGAGATTGAGTCTAATGTTCAACATGCATCATTTTATTATACACTTAATCACTCTTTTAATCCTTCGTATGACTATTGCCCTCCTCCACTATTTTATGAAGAACCACCTCTATCACCTTATTCACCCGAGTTTCAAGAAAAATTGTTAGCTCTACTTGATGGGTTTAATTCACAAACTCAACTTATCCTTTCACATTCTCAAATTTTAGCCAAGCTTGAAGCTTAAGTTGAGCAAATTGCAAGTACTCTTTCTCGTCAAGAGGAAGAGGAAGAGGCAAATGAAAAAATGGCAATAATTTCGATTTGTATAGATGAGGATGATAAGGGTGAAGAGGAAGAAGTAGCAAGTGAGCAATTTGAGGAATTAATGAGTCCACCAATGACTAATTCAATAGAGCACAACATGAATAATGAGGACTTTCCTTATTTTGATCATGATTTTATCTCGGCCTTTGATACTTTAGAGAGTGAGGAAATGGTGACCACTATAGAGGTAGGAGAGGAGGAGGAGGAACGTGTTGAAGAGGGCCTTCCTTCTATAAACTCCAAAGATCCTCTTGAGACATGCCTTTTTGAAATGTATAAAAATTTGTGGTTTTGACCTTGAAAGCTCCAAAAATGAAATAAACTTTTTAATGGACTCCTTAGCTAACTTGGAAGGTGAGGAGATGGTGATTTTTGAGGAAGAGAAAAATGATGAAGAGAAGGTGTTTCTTGATATTCCAATTGAGTCTTTGAAAGACTTTGCCTTGC